CCTGGCCTTGAACACTTCCAGGGAGGGGGCATCCACAACCTCTCTGGGCAACCTGTGCCAGTAACCTCACCACCCTCACAGTAAAGAATTTATTTCTAACATCTAATCTAAATCAACCTTCCTTCAGCTTAAACCCATTACCCCTTGTGCTGTCACTACATGCCCTAATAAACAATCCCTCATCATCTTTCCTGTAGGCCCCTTCAGGTACTGGTAAGCCGCAATTAGATCTCACTGGAGCCGCCTTTTCTCCAGGCTGAACAATCCCAACTCTCTCAGACTGTCCTCATAGGAGAGGTGCTCCAGCCCTCATTTGACTAGGTATCATCCCTGCAGGTATTACAAGACTTTTGTGATTCTTCTTCTCTAAAAGCATTTGCTTACTGGATTCTCATCTCTAGTTCTCATTTCCCATTTTTGACTCCTATCACCAACAAGCAGCACACACCTTTTCTCATAGCAGTCAACCAGTCAACCCCACTTTAACCACTTCTGCAGAATCCCTGCCATGTCATGTTCAGAAGCAAAAAATTCACCCACAAATATATCAGTATGTCTTGTTCCACAGTTAAATGAAAAATCTAGATGCTAGGAGGAAATTGTAGCTTATGTCAATGGCAGTGATTAGCAACAGCCTCCTCAGTTGCAGCTCTGCATCCCTAGATTGCTTTTTACCACTAGAATGGAACTGTTATAACCAGTTCACATGCCTCCAGTAACTACAGACCAGAGTAATAACTGTTGAGGTATCTTTGCAAATTATACATGAAATCTATGGTAAAGCATAAACAAGAATCTACTGAATTAACTAGGTTCTGCACTAACACCAACATAACTCTGAATTTTCAGGCTCACAAGTATTTGTGTATTTCTCATCATAATGCATACAAACACCTATAAAGGGACATTAAGTTTTAGTATAAAAGGAAGGATGCCTTTCACTTATTACGTATCAGACTTTCAGCCACAATGCTGCCAATATTGCTACATAATATTTTGAAGGTGTAGATACCATTCAGCAGAACAATATTTTAAATTAACACCACATCAAAACCGTAAGATAAACTCTGACAGCTATTTTGTTTTATGCTTTCTAATTCACATTTTCCTCAAACCAATTTCTGTAGTCAGAAAGAATCAACTATAAGTCAATTTTACATAGATCAGACACAACTCTGTAAGCCAAGAAAGTCCTGAAAGGTCAAGAACAATTTTGTAACTCTACCGAGAAATACACTAGCATGACTCCACTCCCTCTATCTACTCCTACGCTTTTCGCAAAAAATCCACAGGGTAGTGAGATGCCTCAATTGTGGATAAAGCAGCAGTGTGTGTTCATACTTGTGTACGTGCATAAATTAAGCATCAACTTACGTGTTTTTTGACTCTAGACTTACTGATGAAGTCAAGTCCGCATCGGTTACAGGAGTGGGTACTCTTTCGGAAAGCAAACTCGTCTGTGAAAGAAAAAATAAAATCAATATCTCCTCATTGTTTATTTACACCATTTTTAAATTCCAGATCTTCCTCGTTCTCTTGTTATGTATTTAAAAAAACAAACAGTCATGACGCTGTAATCTAGTCTTTGGCACAGAATATGCTATTCCACTGCATTTTTTATTTCAGAAAAGCTTATTTTTTGTTTTTTCCTTGGGTACAAGCCATTTTAAAGCTAGTGCATTTTAAAATTTTTTATTAAAATTCTTAAAATAAAAACCTCTTTGTCTTTACTTTTTAACTGGAAATGCCCAAAGCAAAAAATCAGCATTAAAAAAACAATGTCAGAAAGCAACTCTTTACTTCTGTCACAGGAAAATGAAAATAACAGCCTCTGGAACCAACAACTCAATACCAAATTTATTCAGTAATGCTGCTAATTTTTATTTTTTTTATAAATTATATATATTTGTGTCAGTATGGATATAATTAGAGCTACAGACATAAAAATATGTATGTCTTTATATTTGATGGAGTTTCTAACTTAAATTATATTTGAAAATAATTGGTGTGAAAAACACTGTTTATTTAAGAGGAATGGTTAAAGCTGGTTTATGTTTCTAGGGATAAAAAGCATATTGCACCCCTCAAATGAAAGTGAGCAGTCATAAATTTACTCTCTTATAAACGTGATCTAATAAATGCACAAAAGATTCCTCTATTAAACTAGTCAGTTGTCCTGAATCTGTTAAGTTCCCCTTTCATTACATTCTGTACAAATTCTGTCCCAGAATTCCAGCAGAATCTGCCAAGAAAAAAATTGTTTCTCCATCAGTCTTAAAACTCCAGGAGACGTGTAAAATAGGAGGAAACAAGTTACCAGTTGTCCTGGTTTTGGCTGGGATAGAGCTACTTTTCTTCCTAGCAGTGGGCATAGTGCTGTGTTTGGATTTAGGATGAGAATAATGTTGATAACACACTAATATTTTGGGTGTTGCTAGGCAATGTTTACATTAAGTCAAGGACTTTTCAGCTTCTCATGCCCTACCAGCAAGGAGGCTGGGGGTGCACAACAAGCTGGGAGGGGACAGGGCCAGGGCTCAAACCGGCCAAAGGGATATTCCATACCATATGACGTCATCCTCAATATGTAACTGGGGGGAAGCTGGCTGGGGGTTTAGACTGCGACTCGGGAACTACTGGGCATTAGTGGTGTGTGGGTGGTGAGCAATTGTGGTAGTCATCACTTGTTTTGCATATTCTGTTACCATCATCATTACTATTATTATTATTCCCATCCCTTTCTGTCCTATTAAACTGTCTTTATCTCAACCCACAAGTTTTATGTTTTTTTCCCAATTCTCTCCCCCATCTCACTGGGGGACGAGGAGTGAGCACATGGCTGTGTGGTTGTTTTAGCTGCCTGCCAGGTTAAACCATGACACCCGTCTAGCCATTAAAAAATTGTCACTACTGCTTGAGTAAGTCCACCATAGTCCACCATTTTCGCTGCACTATAAATGGTAGAATATTTTATAAACTACAGTTGTTTTAAAATTGAACAATGACAGAAAATAACTTAAAAAGTAATCAAGATGGCAGAGTTGCAGATGTGACTCTCCTGTACTAACTTGACAATTCCTGAACTCCTTAGCATGAGGCCAGGTTGGATGGGGCTTTGGGCAACCTGGTCTAGTGGAGGGTGTCCCTGCCCATGGCAGGAGGGTTGGAACTAGATGGTTTTTAAGGTCCCTTCCAACCCAAACCATTCTGTGATTTTATGATTCCACTTCAGTCTCAATTTGACCTCCAAAGTGAGGAAATGGCATTTTTTCAGTTAAATGTTTCATGATTTTTTTAACTCGACACATTCAGCCTACTCATATGTGTCAAAACAATTTGTCTAAACAACGTTGTATACCATAATAAAGGATTTTAATGTGCCAAGAAGTCTTTTGTGCATGTGCAAATGCTGTGGTGCTTTAGAGCAAATAACTGGAAATGCCCATCAAAAGCATATAACAGTCTGTGATAAACATTAAATACAGTAACAAGTTAGTTCAAGACAGACTAGTTACACAACAGCAAAGCACAAAAAGACAGATTGTTGAATTATGTAAATTACAGCATGATTCAAGTGAACTAAACTCCTTAATTCAATAAAATCCTGAAGTTCTCAATGCAAGGAACAACGTACGTTTCAAAACTAACGTTCTTTGATGAGAAACAGTTTACTCTGGTATAATTATGGTTGTAAGTAATAAAATAAATTATTTTTCAATCAAAATGTATGCTTTCATGATAATATTCATACAAAAGCAGTGAGAAATACCCACAAGCTGGTGATTTAAGTCTCTCTTCTATTCATGTTCTATCTTTCTGATATTTTCTGCCTCAGTTTAAATTATGACTGCATTTTTTATATTCTAATCATAATAAAAGCATACAACATTTGACAGGAAGAATAGCTCCATTCTCTTTCCCTTTCTCTTTCCTGCTTCCTCGCCTCCAAAAAGAATCTTTAGGTTTTTAGTCAATTTTTTCTTCCATCTTGGTCTGATCCTTCTCTATGAAAATATTTTGCAATCACTGGAGGTAAAAAGACATAGTTCCATTTTTCAGTATAAAGTGAAACAACACAGCTAAATTTTAGGTTCTAATACCTATAGTTTAAATATGCTTTCAGTTTAGCTGGAAGCCAAAGTTGAAGCTCTGTGTGCTACCCTTACCTAAATGCTGCCAATGTTATTTTAATGATTCAAACGTTTGTTTGAATTTTACTTCACTGTGAACTTTTTAAAAACTGCTCTTGCAAAATCTGCTGTTATTTTTCCATCTTAACTGAATCTTTATAGTAATGAATAAGAATTTTCACACTCTATATAGCTAGCAGAACAATGACAATAGAAAAGTTTAGTGAATAAAGTAGAGATCCTATACCTTCTTCAGTAAGTTTATAACAGAAAGCAGAATACGCAGAACTGTTGGACTGAAACTCTTTTACGCAGAAAAAGGATTAGACTAACAATCAAACTGAAGCTGAAGTACAGACTCTACACTCCATAAGATATCCAAGTACACAGGTAAGACAAGAACTCCTGCCTGGCACTTCTCATTATGATCTCTTGAGAATATTTTAATGGCAACTAACTATTTAAGTCAAATATTTGGAATCTCCTTTCCCCCCCCTCCGTATCTCCCACCAAAGTTAACTAGTTTAACCTAAAAATTACTAAGACCACACCTCAGGAGTTTTTCCTTTCAAAATATCCCAAATGAAGAGTAAAGGCCACATCTGTGGTGGACACCAGCTATCATGACATCAGGTGATCTCTAGCATCAAGGACAATGTTTAGAAAGGAGTTGATCTACAAATGGTAGGTCTATTGATGCATCCTGAGAGTTCCTGGTTTAATCTTATGGCACAGAAGTCTCAAACTAAGCTTCTGCTAGGTTCACATACAAAAGGCAAATTTGAAAAGTAGAACTTCATTTTTAGAACAATTCCGAGCATTATCTCACTACTTAAATATAAGCAACCTGAAGCAAAGAGCAACTATTACATAAGCTGAACCTGTTACAGTAAGATTTTTTCCAATCTTTCCAACACGAAACAAGATTTACCTTTTTCCAGGCCTCTCCAATACATTCATGCAAGCCATAAGGAATTAGCATCTGCAGGCCTTCACAAGTTCTGTACATCTGACGACATACAAAAATGAAAGCTCCTTTAACAACTGGCAAAATCTCAGATCCAGATAAAAGAGAAATGTCGTCATGAAGAAGTTTCTTTGTAAACTGAACAATTACATGAACAGCTGTAGGACTAGAAATAAAACAACACTTTTAAAATGTTGGTTTGTAGTCGTCAATAAGCCTTGAAACAAATCCTCTGACTAAACATATTTAAATTTTTCTAGGGGAAAAGAAACTATGGAAAGAAACTACGACCCACTACGGGGGGGGGACCAACTATATTATAACTCGCAACAGCAGTCAGAAGAAAAGAAATGTACAGCAAGTGATTTTACTTTGGCTACAGGTCTACATAAAGAAAAATGCATCCATTGCCTTCCAGCCAGCCCATGCAGGCATGAGCTGCACAGGCTGTGTATTTTATAGGAGTCCAGTTGGGAAGAGTAACAAGACAATTTTAGCTTCCGCTTAATCAGTGTTAAGGATATCACTACAAGGCAAAATTCGTCCTTGCTCTTCCTTTTTCCTATCTGAGATCTCCTTCTGAAGTCTTCTAGGCTTACAATGCAAAGGACAACTCTTTCTCCAAAATACTATCTTTTACTTCCAATCCCCCTTAAAAATATACACAACTTCTCAGATTCCTCCACTTAGAAGACATACATTCCAAACATTTCCATGACATGCAGCTTAGATATTTTTAAAGGCTAGTCTCAATTTTACTGCCCTGTTTCAAGTTTTAGCATCAGCTAACCACATACTACCCATAAGATCATACAGATCCTAAGTTAGGTACTGTGTTACGAATGTCAGTTTCTGATACAAAATCTGTCTCTTCTAGATGTAATGAAAAGTGAATGCTACATTAAATCTATTCTTTCAATAAATTAGGTTGATTTTTAATATTTATTCTGACAACAAACAAAAAACAGAGTAGAGACGCCTTTGGCCTGAACAGCAGCACTACGAATATAACGGAACTACATTCAGAGAAAGGAAAGCTCTCACATGAATAAGAAAAACAAGTAAACCATGGAAATCTCCCTTAATAAAAGTATTTTTTTTAATTTCCATTTCACCTGGTTATACATGTCTCCCTAATCATTCTCTAAAAAACTTACTACTTTACTTGATAATCAGATATTTTACTCTAAACATAAACAAATCATGTTATAGATACATGAAAAAAGAGAAAATGAATCTCATAGGACTAATGTAATTCATTGAAGTACTCACTAATACTATTCATTAATGCAGTCTTACCTATCATCTTTGGCATTTTTTTCATTTTCTCCATAAAGAAGAAAAGAAAGACCATCTTCTACAGCAGCAATCCTTGCCAAAATATCAGCTACATCAATTAAAGTGGTTTCAAGATAATTTATACACACCTATTTGGAAGAAAGAAAAAAAAGGTTTTGATTCAATGCCTTCGTGAAAGCTGTTTATTCAAGTCAAGCTTATGTATGCAGAACCTGAAGGTCACCTTTCTCATGATTGCTTAATGGCTTAAACAAAGTAAGTAAACAGCCTACGTTCAAATGCCATCACATAGAAATCTTCATCACAAATGGCAGTAATTGCCACTTTTAATGATAATGGCAGAAGTTCAATGACTGCACAGATATAGAGAACAGACATTTCTAAACTTTTTTTCTTTTCCCACCATGAATGTGGAAAGGCTCTTGATATGCCATCTAGGGGTACAAAAGCAATACCTGAATCAAGGTGAGAAACATGCTAACTCCCTCACTGCTGCATATGCACTGGCAACTCTTTGGCTAGGAATGGAATTCTAGTTCCCAAGATCTTCTGCATCCACCTCACCTCTAGGCTGCGGTAGGCCCAAACAGCTTTGGAATCATGAGGAAATTCTTCCCCACTGGAGCAAAGCCGATGCCTTATTCACTTCAGAGCACTGACTCTGTAGGCACAACTAGGCTGTAATCGAGCAGACTTGAACATTTAACATGGGGATTCAGACTGTTCGGTCTGGTACCATCACTAATGAATGTACTACCCGAATTAATGCTAAACTGGCCATTGCTCATTAATAAGTGAAGTCAATATTCCAATAGTAGACCAGCAGGACATGGGTGCTCCATGAAGAACCTATCAGGGAGTGGCAGGGGCGGGATGCTCTGCAAGGGATCAGAAGCCAGGAACTGAGTGTGATAACGAGACAGGTAGAGGCAGAGGCTTGCCATCGGATGGGCAGGCAATCCTCCATACCCAAGCAAGGTGAGCAGACAAGGTCCGGTGATAGTAATTAGGTTCACCTAACAGTCCAGATCCCCTCCACAGTGATGACGGAGGTCCAAGTTTAAGCCAGTGAGTCAGGGTCAGCTCCAGACCCCATAATCAGAGTCAGGCACAGCCCAATGATCAGCACGAATCTGGATCTATAGTCACAAAGCAGGTCTGAGGCAAAGCAAGCGAAGAAGTCATGTCTGTGGGTCAGGGTTCAGATCAATGGGACACTAGGCTTCCGTGCTGCTACAACATAGTACAGGCAAGGAACGAGGACAAGAATCTCAGCTTAAAAAACACTCCTGAGTGGAAGGTTCCACAGAGGATTATTAGCAGATGCATCGCTGGGGGAATCTCTGCTGAGACTTCCTAGCAGAGCTTTCTCAGCTGTCTCTGAGGCTGGACATCCACAGCATTACCTATGCTGGCCCTGCGCCCAGGCTGCCAAGTCCAGGGGAGGGGAAGTAATGGGGAGAGCCTGACAGTAGACAGCAGCTGTAATTCTGCAGGACTTATGCACTATCCTAAAGGTGCTCACCAAAACTCTACTCCTGTCCATATGCCTCAATAATTTGGTCATGAGATAATCAGAGTGTACCTTAACACCCAGGGACTGAGAAACACTCCAGATTCCTGGACTTACACACAAAAGTACTTAAAAAGAAGGACAGTTTTCAAAATGAGAACTCCTCTCTGGTAGGTCCCCGCTACCCACACCTGGGACAATAGAGTGTAGTCAATGAGAACACCTAGGGGGGATTATTGGTTACAGTAACACTTGTTAGATATCTAGTATGTCAGAATGGGGAATAAAGCACCACTCTCCTGAAGTTGCAGTCCACTGCTTAAATCTTTTCCACTCTTCTGTTACTCATCAAGGACAGCTGGACTCACAAGAGAAATTACTTTTTAAAATGCTATGCAATCCAGCTCCTACTTTTTCTTTTACAGGCAGCTCTGTATTTTATGTAGTGCACAGAAGAAAAATAAATTGTCTTCCTACTTTAAAATGTAAGGAATTTACTATTAATGGCAGTGATCAAAGTAACCCAAGAGAAAAATACCATTTTTACTTCACTCTTTTAGTTAAAATTTTCAGTGATACAGAGGGTTAATCTCCCTGACCTTTTATTTTTAGTTTACTGAATATCATTGTTCAGGATTCTAAGAAAGGAACACACTGTGCTGTCACAGTTTCTTCAAGAATGTTATTATTTTGCTTTCCCTGTGCAACACCAAAAACACCCCAAAACACAGTACTTTGTTTATTTAAAATGTGAATGCAATGTTCTGCACCAGCTATGCTTTAGCAGCAACTCAGAGGCTACAGAACCCAAAAGGTCAATACCCCTGCCCACAAACTGATCCTTCGGACAACTGCTGATAGCCACTGAGTTTCTCCTCTCCACTACACATACCCAATACTACGCTGCTTAAAAGGCACATAAGGCTTGCATGTATGTGAGTGAATTCAGAGATCAAATGTAAAATAAGAGCATTTTGTTTGCTCATTAGGCCCACCGTACAACAAAGGAGCCCCATATACAGCTCCAGTTCTACCTGCCCGCCAGCCCCAGCTGAAAAGAGATGCATGTGTGGCCATAGCCTTCCTTTTGAGGTAGACATGGCCCAGCATTAGGATTCCTGGGTGTCTAAGAAGTGCCAGTGATTTGGTTGGGAAGCAAAACATTTCAAATTCTTGTAAAAGAGGAAGAGGGTCACTATGACTTGGTATACCTTTCTAGCTCTTGGTTTGCCAGATGCAATACAAAACAATTTGCACCTTCATTAGAACAAATACGACACATTCCAGATTCACAACACATAACAACCTACTACAGCTACTGTGCATTAAATATTCCTGAACGTGACCCGTTTTTTCTAAACAGATCAGTTACTAAGTCACAGTAGGGCTTACAATTTGTTAAGAGTTCAGCTACCCACAAAAGACAGCTGAGCATGGCAGAAACTAAAAAAAAAAAGGGAAGAACTGTTAAACATTGAGATAATTTCTTTTTTAACTACTGATGTATAATAAAGAAGAGACAGTTGTATATGCTTTAGAATACCGTGTGACCAAAGAGATTGCCTCGAGGATTACACAAGCCTCCATCACAGCAAATAAATGAAGTATTGCCTTAGTACTGATTTTAAATTTGACTATCAGTGTTCAAAGCATATGTAGGCTCAGTCATTTTTTTTTTTACTTGAAAAATTTTGCACTAATTTTTTGCAACGTAGAGTAAAAAGAAGATGACTTAAAGTGTTAATCTTGCAAAAGCAAGATAGATAGCCATATAATAAAATGTATAAGTAATGTTACTGTACTCAGTACGATATCCACAGAAGAGCTAAATTATTGACATGATCAAGTTTTTGCAGGACTATGGTTTTAAGCTTTACAGAAGTACATACTTTGAAATATTTACTTGGAAACTGATTGTTTACACTTTTGAAATAGCATTGGAAAAATTTTGTATAGGTAAAAATATTTTCAGTAATTAATATGGAGAGCCTTTTCTAAAAAATAAACAAACTGCACTGAAAAAATGATCAGAAGGACACTGACAAAATTCGACTTTAAGAACCTAGACGAGGTGTTTAAATTAGGAACTCAGACTGTCTTTGCAAGCATGAGTCTCAGGAAGTAAATTCAAAACTTCTTAGCCATTAATTCCTCTCAAAGTGTCTTTACGTAAGACAGCTCAGGCTCCTCCATGGGCATCTCAAGACCTTCAGCCTCTCTGTCTTGAGACATAGAGTCACCTAGGTCAATTAAATCATCTCAGTCAAAACAAAAACATTAGGACAGGCTGAAACTATAACTAGATTTTCAAGTACGTAGAGGTAGATAACGTTTCCCAAGATTTTTACAATTCTTACAGAAGTGTTTAAAAAAACCAACAAAACAAAAAAACCCCAAACAAAACCTCTTCCTTTAGCAATTCAGAAAATAATAATTTTCCATGAAGAATTATGTATTTTACCTATACTAATTATTGAGAACGCTTCAGGTTGCAAGCTGAATTTAAAAAGGAATACAGGTAGGCTGCCTTTTAAAAAGCAAGTAAAGCAAATAAGCATCCAAGCAATATCCAAAAGACACAAAAAAATTGGAAGAAAAAAAATAAATTAAGTAACATGACTTTCCCAAGGGAATGGTCTCACTATGGCACAATTTTTGCTACTATTCACAGGATTTCAAGAAAACCAAGTTTGTCAGACCAATCACGACAGCCTACACTATTTAAGGCATAATATAATAGCTAATGTAGAAAATACAACAGAAGTTACCATGTGTCTAAATAAATCTTTTGCATAGAAAATACAGAAAAATGATAATATTCTATAGATTTAAAATTTGGAAGACTACTACAAACCTCTGTGCCACTCAGTAAACTTTGAACAGGGTGAAGTAGGGCATCTATCACTGCATCCGTATATAAACATTCAGCAGTACATCCTGTTTGATCACAAAAAACTTGCAGAATCTCCATAACAAGACTTGCTGGAGAATAACTGTCTGGTGAACACAAGAAGTATTTGTTTATATTTTAATGTACACAAACATATCTACATGGCTTATGTAGATGCTTCTGAATTATCATTTTGTTAAGCAGTGATTTAACACAGTTAGAGGGGAAGAAGAAAAGGGAAGAAGGGAAGAGAAAAATCTGCACAAATAGCAGACTCAAAAACTGCAAAAGTTACCACGTGCCTCATTATAATTATATATAATAGCATATATTAAAATCAAAATATTTACCTGTCTGTGCTGCCAAAGCTGTCTTTGGGTAACTTGGAGAGTAATAAATAAGCTGAGTAAATAACACCAACAGATCGGTTATGGAGACACTACCTATTAAAAAAAAAAAGAAAAAAGGAAAGTACTCTGCAAAAAATGCCACTTCAATTTTACAAATAAAATAGATTTTGTAAATATATGTAAACAATGCTATGCTTTATTGAGGAAATCAACATATGTACAACCGATAAAGCAAAGTATGTGCATGTCCCTGGGACTCTACCAAGGTATTTCATGATCAACTTATAAGTCTTGTTCTTGCTGCCAATTTAGCCAATGTTCATTTTACCATGTCTTCCACTGAAACAAACGGCAGCCAAAGTTTGAGAATGCTGAACGCACATGGCTGTAGGAAAAAGCATTACCTTGTTATTAGATTAAGTGAAACAACTGGAAAAGAGACAAGCTGTCAGACAACTCTTCCTCAGGTCTGAAACAAAAACAAGTATGTAGCTAAATGCAGGTTGGGAACTATTGCTCCAAGTTTAATGTAATTATGTTACTAAGTCAGTTTGTGAGGAAAGGGTTGCTATCTATGAAGCTGAGAAGGACACTATTAAGACAGACAGTGAGATTGTTACTTTGTAGGGCAGACAAAAAACCCCAACCATCAGCAATGTATCAGTGCTTGAATGGTGTCATACAGATAATCCATAAATGACAAAAGCACTTGATTAGTAGATTTTTCTTCCTCACAACTGCTCTACGTTGGATCTATTAAGTCCTGATCCTCAAACCTAAGGGACAAAGCACCTTCAAAAGACAATTCTCAGAATTAGTATCCAGTGATGTTTTGAATTCTACACTGAATGGAGAGATCAACGTAATGGAACACTACAATTGTTCTCACCCACTTGCATTTGCCAACCCTGCACAATGTATCACCATATGCAGATTTCTCTGGATGTCCAAGGGCTTTTCCATCTCCTATCTTCTGTTCCTATTAACACCTCTGTTCCTCAGGTATCAGCCTTTTCCTCTACCATTGTTTTACCTTAATTATATTAATAGGTTAAGCTCAGAGCAATGGTTTTCAATTTGCAATTAGCTTGAAATACTGATTTTGTTTCACACCTGAAAAAAACAGTTTTGGTCCCTGGACATGTCTCCTTTCCAACCAATTGTATCAATTGGTTTGACAAAAGGTATTACTCATATTGAGAAAGACTCAATTACTTACACACTGATGCAACTCTGCTTCAACATGAAATTAATATATTAAATGTAAAAGTGATCTATTCAACAACATCCATCAAAAATTAAAAAATTGTGCTGATGCTCCAAATGACCTATACCATCTTTTAAGAAAGGTTTCCAGGCACAAAATTGCTGAACAGAGTATTGTCCTATAACATCCACAATATTGCAGTGGAAACATACACCAAGTATGGATAAAGTGTTACTCAACAGGTTCTATTTTCCTCAGCCCTCCCCTTACCTTTTTTATTTTTCAGCTGTACTGGAAACAGATTTCGGCCTTGCTTATAGATCAACAATCTTCCTAAAAGGCACAACGAATGAACAAAATAGATGTACTGCAGTTCTGGTCCAGTGTAAGAAAAGTTCTGCTTATCACCTTTAACAATAAAACCAAAAAATTAGAACTTGACTCTTTCAGTTTACTCTACAGTACCTAGCTACAACATACCTACCTGCAACATACATGGATCATTTTGTACATAAAGACAGACAACTTAAGTAACTAACCACTGCTGTTAGCATTCTCTCAAAAGATAGACATACAATATTTTGAGAAGAAAAAGAACAGATAGAATGTCTTCCTCTTGAGGTAGCATGCTCAAAGACCTAGCGAATGTGGATGTACGTGCATATAATGCAAGACATGCAAAGATACTCACTACGGTGCTGCTGGGAGAAGTCATTGACTCTGGAATTTTTATTAACAGCTGTCTTGCAAAATTCAAAATAATCAAGACATTGCTGGACAGCTGCATTAATCTGTGGGGAAAAAAAAGCACAAAATAATAAAATACCTGGTATTTTACAATAAAGTCATTCGTTCTTATCCAAGTACTGTCCTTTAACACAAGAACCTAAATATCTACTTCATTGCAACTACCTTATGTTTCAGTGCTTTGGATGGGTTAACCAACAGGAGGTAAAATTTTACAGGGCTATTAAAACACATTGCCATTATTATTACATTACCATACTACCAACTCTATAAGCATTAAGACAATCTATAAAAAAGAGTACAGAGAACATGCAAGTATTTTGATAAGTTAATGGCAATCTGTGATTGCCGTATTGTCATTACTACGGAAGATTTTAATTTTCCAGACATGAAAAATTTTGTCTTGAACACACTTACTAAACTGTAAGTTTGGTTGTTGGGTGGTGTCAGTGCTCTTAGTGTTCTTTGCAGATGTGTTGTATCATTATCATAGCATTATCATCAAATCAATGTATATAAAAGTTTAAAAATTATCAGCATGGATTTAAAAATTAATCAGAAATATAGCATATGAACAAAGAAGTACATTTAGATTTATCACAGTTTGGACCTGCTAGGATTTATTCTCAAATGTAAGTAAAATATACAGACTAACATAAAAAAAAAATACTTAATCAGTTGGTTACTCTATGTTTATAAATTAGACTACCCTGGTCATGGACTTCCTATTATACTTTTTTTGTTGCTTGGAACATGCTTTATTCTATGTTCTGTTCTATGCACACAGACAAACGTCTTTTATAGTTGTCTGTATCCTTGTCCCCTATCTTAAGGTTTTATCAGTTACATATATTTTACATTATATTTCATTCGTATTACAAGATTTTACAAAACATAGCCAAAGTCCTGTCTATATGAATATATCTCACATTTATATTGATCTTACTGAAAAAATGAAACTTCCATCCCAGTGAAGAGATCTGTTCGTATAGAATGGACAGAATGGAATGTGATTGGATTAAAAACTACATTACTAAAGATGTTTTCCCAGTTTGATTTATTTTGCTGACACTTTGAATCCTTAATGCTTCATATCACAACTTAAAGAACACAATGGCGGTTTTTTAGTTTCTTTTCATCAAAAATCCAAATTCAGCACAGAGTTTTTATATTTTTTCACGCACCATTTGCTATTTTTATGCATTTTCAGAATTAATTCTAAATACGAATGCAACATAAGGAATTAATAAATAATATTCCTCATTAAACACCTGCTATAAACCATCCAAATTTCCCCTTACTCTGAGCTGGTCACATACCCTTCTTTGCATTTAACAGATTCATTTAAGCAAGGAGAAATTAAAAAAAATTAAATCAAAAAGCTCATCTAGCTAAACAACATGGAACAGCTCTGACAAAAGGGGAAAAAGGAAAAAAAAAATAAATGCTCAAACCACAATGTGAAAGCAAGAACAAGTTCCAAGTAAATTTGCCTTGGGAAATACTTACCAAAGATTTATATTTCTTTTCCAAAAGCCTAAATACCACTGTTCTGCTGTAATACGCATGCTAAAATGACAAAGAAGACCTAATGTCAACTTCAAACACATAAATTTCATTTTTTAATTAAGAAGTAGAAATTATCTCCAATTCTGTTCTATTAGGGATCTTGTGCACAGTACATATTCAATCTATTGAACTCCAGCTTGTGTAAACCAGTATTATACTCAACTGAGCCTTTGGTTTGCAGTACATTTAAGATGACAAAAAGAAAATTATGTCATTAGTAAAATGTGTAGGAGAACATACAATAAACAGAAAAACAATAACTACACTGAAATGTTAGACTATGTGTTTTGACATTGCCACGTAAATCCTAAATTATAAGTTTACACAAGGTAGACTGCAAAAAGCTCAAATGTCCACTGGAAATTAGCAAATTGTGTGCAGCATATCATATGCATAACTGTACTTTCATGCTCATCACTTCTTCCAGAAAAATATTTGCAACTCTTGATAGCTGTCCATCAATTATAACAAAGGGACTGAAGCCCCAAAGCACAGTAAGTCTTCAGAAATTTTATGAAAACTAGTAACTGAGCAGAAATGGAGGGGGAAAGTAGTGTTAAAGGGCAAAAGACATAAATGCCTGAAAAAAACCCCCACAAAAACCCAGACTTCCTTAATTGCAGTGCTCATTATAGGTTGTTATCAGGTCACAATAGGTCTGTGATAATAACAGTCATAAATCAAACTTTTCAAAATACATGTCAGACGAACAAGTTACGGGTTGTTGGGTTGGTTTTCTTTTTGCTTACCGTCCACTTTTTAAACCATACTGCTTTGATATCTAGCAGAGCCAAGAAGTACACTGGACTCAAAAAATCTGGAGAAGCAGGATGATCAGGCTCGTGTTTTACTGACAAAAGCGATAAGGTACTCTCCACTACTTCTTCCATGTATCTTATGACACAAACAGGAAAAAATGAACAGAAAACAAAAATCTTTTAAATTTTCCCACCAGTAATACTCAGGAAAAAAATTTCTAGTAAAACCTTATTGTTCAGATAAATCATAAATATCAACAACATTATCTTTAACTTGATCTTGTAAGGATATTAATTCTTTGGGTTACCATGAATAAAACTAATAAGAACATACACGTGTATTCTCCTACATGATTATGTATTTTATTATACTTGTTACTTTGTAAAACTTCCAAATTATTTTTGTTAAAAAGCACTTAGAACACTTCAAAAGGTAAATAAGCAGCTTAATATGACCCATGACTACTCCTATGCAACTTCCCTATTCCGCTTTTACCACTCTCTATTTATACTCCCTCCCTTATCACTGACCAGTCATCTGCACATCCTGTAATTAACCTTTTGCTAAAATTACATGCATCTAACTATATGTCAAAAATCATTACATTAAGAAACAGTGACAGGCTTTTGAAGGTGACATACTTTTCTGGATGACGAATCCAGGAAGAGGGAGCTTCCTTTTGGTACTCATTTAAAAGGCGAACCTGAAAACATAATTATTAAAATTAAAAAATAAATAATCCTTGATGTTTCAGTAATGACAAAAAAGGTATGGAAAGTTCATTTATACCTTTTTAAGTAAACGATTTACATCTGTGTTAGATATATCCAGACCAGCTGAAATACGAAGACAATATTCTCCAGAAAGAAAGTACAACTCCAAGTGTGACCAGCTGGTCTGGCTAAAAAAAAAAAAAAAAAACAAAACACCATCTCACTTCCATGACAATAGTGGCAAAACAGACTGTATTATACAGCTTCATTATAAAAGTTAACTGATTGATATTCAGGAAGCACATAGAATCATGAAGACTTAAATGTAATTAAATGCACATACCTAAACTTGTATAGACTTCTCTTGTCATATTAAATGGAGAAGAAGAAAAGGTTTTTGCATAGAACCTAAGAATTTTCTCCTAAGGGAGAAAAAGTAAGCAATGTATTAAGTAGTCATGTAACTGTGTATTATTATTGCACAATAATCAATATGTAGTGGCATTCTACTTAATATTACATGTTGCTCAGATATCTCTACAGATGTGAAGCATATTTTATAAAAATATACTGTTTGAGACCACAGAAACCTCCAGTCCGAACGAAATTTTACTCGAATACTTTAACTGGCAGCACCAATGCAAAGCCACACTGAGATAAAAAGAAGCAGATCGGGGAATATTACTGTACTTTTCCATTAACATTAATGTTTTTATGTTATTAAATGTACCAATGACTTGTAAGTAGCATTGTTTCAAAAGAAACTGTAGACCTTCTAAGCCGAAATACATGACAGCAGCGGCGGCAACTTTCATATTTATTTGATCATCACTTTAAAATTCAAAGGAAAAGAAAACAAAGCTTAATTGGCAGAATAAATAATCTAAAAGCTGTTTAAGTAGCTGCCATTTTTTCTCATCAATGCCTGTGTAATATTACTATGTATCATTTTCTCATAATCATGGAGCATATACCTGACAAACAGGAAATGTTAATATGACAAGTTTTGCAGAAGGTTTGACTTTTTTTTTAACACCTGTTTGCTAAAAGACATTCAAACCTCTTCATTCCCATTAAAAGATATGTAAACAAGTACTCCAGTCTCTAAAAATCCTATTGAAATCCTGTTGTAACCCTTTAAATCAAGACCTACTGGAAACTTATAGTTCTTTTACTTCAAAAAGAGTTTATCTGATACATACACAAATAATAAAATGTTTTGAGATGCTGCTGGACAACTCATAATACGTATGTAACTTCTTACTCCTCCTCAGTACTCTTTACTAAGGCTACATATCTGATAACTAAATACAGAACATAAGCTTACACTGAATGCTGCATCAGGATCTGACAGAGACATCGTTAGATGCTTACGCAGATTTGGCCAGCTCTCAGAGTTCAGTATATCAGAGGGAGGGGCAAAGCAGAGTGTCTGCAATGCTTCTTGGCGAACCTGAAGCGGTCGAAAAGATAAACGACACAAATTCATTCACAGCAACCTCTCGAATATGTAATTTACAATGTAATTTGGAAGAAGGAAGGAACAGGACTTGACTGTAGAACAGACAAGGAATTCTAGAATACTTATCCTCTGCTATATTTGTATGGTGATTTAGACAAAACACTACAACACCGAGGAAAAAAAACCCAAACATATATTTGAAGAAGCAACAAAACCATTTTATCAATACTGGATGCAAGGATTATGTTCTACTTTCTGCTTATAATAAAATATTTATCAGGGAATACAGGAAACTATCATCAAATACTACAAATGTGCCTAGCAGCTCGCTAAAAAGTCAGGAAGGGAATGGGGAAACAGAATTACTAGACACTATGTTTTACTGTTGAATTTGCATCAGCATTATAATCTAAATAATTTCAAATAATTATTTATTTGTAGACAACTGTAATCTGTAGTAATTTCATATTACCGAAACAAACTGTAGGAAATTTCAACAATATTTAATAGCATCAGACTTTTTATCTGGTTATCTAAAAAACTCGATCACAATGTTTATACCAGTTCCATCTACCATGCCTTTTTGAACTGCCAAACAATCCTAAACAAATCTTACTGAGACAGCACTCAAAATGATGCTTCTCCAAGCTTCAAAAATATCAGCAGCTGGTGCTGATTGGTGGTTAGAGACCCAAATTAGTACTGCCACTGACAGGAAGGCAAACCTAATGTGGACTTTATATATTCCATCTGGCAGCGGTCTCTCGGCAAATCAGCAGCCATCTCTCTCTTCTCATAGGGGTAGCAGAAAGGACAACATGGAAGTTACAAAGAAGGGCAAGGGGCACATAAACAAGACAATAAGCTTCAATAACTTTATTTCTCACAGAACAACTTTTTCCAAATTAAAAATACCCATCTCTAGCACATAAACTCCTAACAAAAAAAATAAGATACTTGCTGAAACACTAGCTTTTGAACCAGATGGTTATGAACAATGAAATACTGCAGTGGAAAGCAGTTGCTGCACTGAAGCCAAGATATATAAACCAACAAAGACAAGATTCCAGTTAGGTACACATGAACCCTTATGTACATACAGTCTGTTTTCCACTATGCCATAAACATTCATTTGTATTAACATTTTATTTCTTCATTGAAACTTACTTCCTTAGGCTGAATAGGGTCAAGCCTTTCTACAAGCAGCTGCAACTGCTCTTGACTCATGAACGTATAACTCTGTAATACACATTATGAGATTATCATTAAAATATTTTATTAAACTGAATAGCAGAAGATTAAAATCATCAGTCTTTTTGATATCTAATTTACTTTTAATAATTAGGACTTCAAAATTTATATTAATTTTACATTAAAGTCAACATTCTAAATGTTTTCTGCCATTTGCCCAAAGTTAAATTTACAGCAACAAAATTCTCATTCCATATTTTGCTTTTCTTTACTTAAGTTTCCTGTATCTTCATAAAATCCCTCATAATAATTCATTCAGTAAGTAATACAGCATAGTGCAGCAGTCTGGAAATGAACTGCACATTACTTGGCTCCTAAGGTAAAATCACAAAAAGTTAGATGATGTATTGCTTTTACCATTATTGTATCTTTTTCTGTGCAGTACTCGCAAAGGTACTTTAGAGCATATGGGCATCATATTAATCTCACCTAGTATATGCTGTCTAAAGGTTAGACAACCAGTATAAGCTTATACTTCAGCGAAGGAAAGGTAACAAATTCAGTTTAGGATATATCAATGATTGGAAGGATCAATCTTTTTCTAGGGCTGCTTCTCAATGTCCACTGACAGAAACTTAACAATTTTGCAGTACCATGCTTATTTCATAACATAGAGAGAAAACACACTGTACTTGGTTGAACGAGGAGTCACTGTCAGAACAGTTGTCTGTATCATAGCCAGTCTGACATTCTTTCTTTGTTTTACTATCCAGCTCCTTATTACGCATCCGATCTTCTTCAAACTTGTTAATCAAAGATTCTACCACAACCATCATGACATTCTTCAAGGCATGCATCATTTCCCTGTATCTTCAAAGCAAAGATGATTTTAACATTAAAGACTGTAAAAATCACTATTTTTTTTTAAATAATCACTAAATAGTGAATAACTGAATATGGCATAATGCTACTTAGATCCAAACTCACTGAATTTACAGAAATGAATGTAAAACAAATGCAAATCCAAAATGAGCAACAAAACACGTATGTACCTTAAATGATTCAGAAAACTATATTTTAAAATAACAATAAAATTCCTTTTTGCCCTTCTAAAACTATTCAGTTAAATACTGCTAACATAATCCTGTTCTGGGAAGTTCTTAAGAAAGAACAATGTGAATCCACCAAAAGGGAAAATCTGTCCCTGAGAAAACAGGCCAGTTCTCATCCTTGTTACTGTTTGTGTTTCTTGAAGTTCAACACCCAATTTTTCTTCTGCTATAAGCCTCAAGCAGAACCAATAGAAGAGAACACATCATCCTGATTCAAGATCTTGAGTACAGGTCATGCACACAAAATAATTTTATTTCAACAAAGACAGGGTTTTTCTAAGTTACATAAATTAAATAATAATAGCCACAATGAAGCAATTCAAAATAAAGCTGCTTCAGAAAAACATCCTATTGTAAAATGTTGATATTTTATTTCAAATTATTTTTTACTTTAAGGCTTCTATAACTTATTTTACAGTCAAAGATCTAAATTACCATATTATGCTTTAATATCCACCTACCTCTCAAATTAAACATATTAGATACATTTAGTTCATTGGAGCTTCTTCTACAAACTTTAACAAGCACAAGAACCCTAATGGTCCTGATCCTCGAAATAAAGAGGCACAAACAGTGTAATTTAAAAAAGTCATCCTAACATCTATTTTCTAGGTGAAAATAAAAGCCAAGTGTAGTTGATTAAGAACTGATTTTTAACATAAATGACTGTACTATGAAAATACAGAACGTATCACTAAGGAGTTAAATTCCTTAACACATTTTTCTCCATGAATACCTTTAAGCATACTACCTACCACAGAAAGTAAGTAATTGAAATGAACAAAACTGGAACCTTGAATGATCTGAAATGATATCAAGACTATCACAGTGAGATCAAATAATGCTCGGAGTTCAGATGCTTGCAGACATGTGACAAGAAAAGGACTCTATAAAAGAATGGTTCATAAAACATATCTGTGTACTTCTAGGTAAGAAACCTTCTGAAAACAAACAGAAAATAAAATCTTCTGGAACAGAAACATACAATATTTTTTAATTAATTTCTTACCAAGGAGACATAGTAAACAGTATGCATGACAGTAAAATCCTAGTTCCACTATAGAGTCAGAGATTAAGTTAAGATCATGCAATAAAAGTGAATGAAAAAAAATAGTTCAGCTGAAGTAGTATATAAAATTTTTTTAGTGGCTAAAATATGAGACACAAAAATTGTGTTTCATTTTCTTCCTCTGCAACACATAAAACTGATGACTGAAGCGAAAGTAGTGGGGGGTGGTGGTTGGTTTTAATTTTTCAATATTCACCATTCCAGGTGCTCACTTTAATTTCACTGTTTTCACATTGTAATGGTTCAACCTCAGTAAAGCTCTCATCATGGCTCTCTATGACAATTAAAAAGAGAGGCAAGGACCTGGTTCACTATGATAACAGAAGTATACTGTCTGTTTTAATTAAAGAAAGAATACTTTTAGAACTGCTTTAAGCATTATGATGTAGTTAGATTTTGTATAGGAATTCCAAAACCAATATGATGCATACACTAAACTTTTCAAGTTTTACATATGTTCTGGAAATAACATCTGTATATACTAAAATCTATTTTATAAGTACTACTGATTACAGCTTTAAAGAATCAGAGACATTATCTGCCTTTGCAAATTCCAAATCCAAAACACGAAAATTCAGTAAGAGAGCTACCAGCCTCTGTATTCCAAGGAAAACTTATTTTAATGCCCACAGGAAGATGAATAAAGTTAGTAAGGAAGAGGTGACTAAGAAAATAATTTAACTGGTACTCACAGAGCTTTTTCTATTTAAGGTTTCTTTACCAAATACAGTGTTCAAAGCCAATTAATCTGGACCACAGACCCTGTAATATGCTGTTATGGGGTTTTGCACACCTACTGATTTCTGGCCATCTGACAGTCTGAGTCAGAAAACCTGTTGGTCCACATACCACAATACATGATACAGACAGCACTGCAAGAGTATCTTTACATGTACACTAAAATACAAAGAAAGATAGCTCAAACTTCAACTTTTAAACCAGTCAATGAAATCAGATCTGACTAAACACAGTACTCTTACAAGACACCTGGCTAGATCCCAAGGAGGCAATTTAAAAAAAAATACTCATGTATTCTAATCAGGTTTTTTGGGGTTTTTTGGTTGGTTTGGTTTTTGGGAGTTTTTTTAGAAAACAACATTGTCATGCAGACTCTCCATTTATATCTAAGGAAATTATCAGACTTTAATACCCAATAAAACCAATTTTTCCTTTAGCTAACTTCCATATCACAACTGATTTTAATTTGCAGCTAGTGAAATAGCACGAAGTAGTGATTCTTCTCGCAAATCTTACCCCTGCCCAACTCTAGTCCTAGATACCTCAAAAACTTCATAGATTTGCTACCAATCTTTTTATGCAATAGTTCAGTCTTAATTCCAGAGTAAGATGAAGCATTACAAAAATTCCAGTGTAGGTGGGAATATCTGAATTACTTAGCACTGATTTTTGAAAGCAAAGAATCTCTTTTTTTTTTTTTACCCATTGGTTCAGAATTTATTTTTTTCAAAACAAGTTCTGAAAAGGAGAAAGGAAGACAAAGACCAAGAAGAAACAAAAATGTGAATTACATGCATATACTCACTCTTTTGATTCACGGGTCTTCTTAGTAACACGTTGGACAAGCGTGTCATAGCCAGATACTTCACCCTGATTTTGAGCAGAAGTACATTTTTCTGTTTCTTCTTCAATCACAGATCCCACAGTATTATTTATATATTGTCTAAGATATTTCACAAACTCATAGCTGTAACAAATATACAAAATTAAAATGTAACATTTCTTTGAGCTCACTGTCAAACATTTTTGACATTATATTAACACTTGTTATCTTCTCTCCCAGCAGACCTGTTACTTTAAGGTAAGGGTTTATGACTTGCAGAGAAATAAACTTCAATGGTGTAAAAAAACCACAAAAAAGTTTGATCTTCTTTAATATGGTCATTATCAGCATATTCCAGGAAGAAACAATACCATAGTTTCTAATTTTCTTTTGTACTTCTAAATGTAAAAATCTACTCAGACAAAAGGTTAGGGTTTTGTCAACAAAAATCATAGAATATCAAGAAATCTCAGATTTTAAATTCCAAAAGAAACATTACTTGGAGCATGCTGAAGATAGCACTGTCTTATGGTATATCCACCTGGTATTATTATTTATGCAGTATACATACAAAATGAGAAGAAACACAGAAAATACAATTCATAAATTCTAGCATATGAGCATGTCTAGGCTTATGAAAGTCTGTGTGTTGTGACAGTACACAGAAGATCTCAGTCAAACTGACAAACTAGCTGTCTGATTACACGTGTACGTTAAACATAAGGAAACTGGCACTTTGCACTCTTAATATTAGACAGTCATGGAAACTTGTTTAAACACAAGAATAATCGGAGGAGGACTTCAAATGAAAGACTCTGGCTGGGTCCTCAGACTCTGTATTAACTACAGAAATTTCTAAAAAGTGGTGCTCAGAATATATGAGCTTTTTTTGGTTAGTCTTCTGATTTGTATAAAGCACAAGGCAAACAAATACACAAAAAAGTAATCATACATAAACAGCAGATACATCGTTATCTTTTCATTATATCAAGTGCAGTGTGCAACTACTTTGTGTTAATTTGGATAAATACAGAGTGAGAAAAATTCAACTAAAAAAGTCAGTTCACCGTGTAGGTAGAGTCCAAAGCTATAAAATGCAAACGTATGTAAATAAAAGCAACTGTCACAACAAGCAGCAGCTTTTGCCTTTTTTGGATATTAATTAAAAAAAAATTAAAAATCAGGCTATATTCAAGATACATTAAAAAAATAAGCACAGAAATTGGTCTTGTATCATGATACATACTTCCTCACTGGATTGCCCACCTCAAGTTCCATCAGGTATAACAGTCTTTTTGTCTTTTTTTTATTTCTCACTTGTTTCCATTCTTACATCACTTTTGTTCTCAATGAAAGAAATACATCTCAAGAAAGATGCAACTACATTTATTTGCATTTTCATTTGTCTTCAAGGCTAGGTTTTTACTTTTGCAATAATGAAATTGCACACGACTCTCCACTGAATGAAAGCTTTCATAAAACTTTCTCCCATTTGTTTTATGACAATAACATCTCCAGGGTATACATTTTTGCAGTGACTGCTTTGCTCTGAAGTACACAGCAATCACATCATTACTCATGCCACTAAGTTTATGTCTCCTCGATGTCCTAGCCTTGATCTTCTCTACCATTCTTCCCCCTTAAACATGTTTTGTAACAAAGAAGTGTTTCAGCAATGATAGAACTACATCTTCACATGCAGAATCAAGTCAGACTGATCTGGCTGGATTTACAAAGGAAGCACTGGGGGGGGGCGGGGAAGGTGTTAAAAAAAACTCTAGGACTTTAAGGGAAAAATACAACATAAAACATGCTACTTATATAGTTAAAAATCCTGATTTCTACTATTGCACATACATTTTGAACTTGATTCAATTTTCCTTTTAATTAGCTTTCTGAGGAACCTGTATTTCTGTCTTTTCTACATCAAAGTGGGAACAGGATAAAGTAAGGTCTCAAAATCTGATAAAATTACTGAGGTAAAATAACCATGAGGCAGAAACAGCGCTGATCAAAATGCTGAGCTGAACTAACCTATCAGACAATCCAAGAGCACACACTACTAATCAATGAGCTTGCAGTCTGGGTGGATGGGGTAAAGGTCAAGGAGAAAGTTTCTTAATGGTCTCACTAATAAATTGCTGTATGACCTCTCAGACCTCCCATGAAAACCAGCCTATACTGCTATGGGGCATGAACAAGACTAGAATACCTCCAGAAATATTCCAGCGCCAGAGAGTGATTCTGCATTTAAAGCAATACTTGGTTTTCCATTACACGTTAAGTTTAAACTTTTCTCATGAAAAGAAAGAATCTTTAGGATCACCATTTTTTTTATCAGAAAGAGTAATGGATGCCGTGGTTTCACTGTTCTAAAGGGAAAGCTATGTATGCATTGTTGCCACCAGTTGTAGACTTTACTCCCTTATCCTGAGTATTCTCCTAGTATGTCCTCAAAAGAAACACTGACAGAAGGAATTTCATAGGTTTTTTGGTTGTTTGGGTCTCTTTATGTATCTTCCTTTAAATAAAAATGTTTTTCTTTCAAAATTACATGTAATTTTCAACTTTGCTATGTTTATAACCAACATTTTTACTCTCACACTTGTCATCCAGTAATCTGGTGCTCAAAATTCACAAGACTGCCAACAGAAATGTTACCTGATACAATCTGTAATACAAATTAAAATACATTTTAAAACATTTAGCATCTTCAGAACATACAAAAGCATAAAAGTTTCAAAATTATAGTGAAGTTTTAGACAAACTCTAGTTCTATTTCACTTATTTACTTTTACCTAACTTCTACCACTGACAAAGCAATGCTAAAAACTAGACAAATTTAAGAGAATTTGGATAGTCCCACGTCTGAAAAAAACCTGGCAGGGAATCAGCTTTCTCAGAAGTCAGGTCACAGACCTCTGGTCTTTATTAAAATGTCTTCAAGATCATTTCAAGTTGATATTCTCTTGACTTGTCACAAATGCATACTAAAAATCTCCTATGTAGTAAAAAAATAAACAAATTAGACTAGCATGGAAAGGAAAGAGGAGTGTGGGCTCCAGAAATCTAGATCACATGTAAAGTGAGGTCACACTGTCAAGTCTGATTTAACAGAAGTGTGATGGCAATACATTTCTGCTTTATTCAAAACATAAATTCAAAGAACAAATAACTGATAAAAATATACAAGGGTTCAGTAATATAAACCAGACAGAACAATCAAATATGGAAGCCAATTGCCTTCTGAAAATTTATCTTATTTTGAAAAACAAAATTATATTATCTAGCAGGTGTAAAAAATACTGCCTGACAGCATTCAGTGAGGATTTCTTCTAGTTTCTGTTTGCATGTGCATTTAGAACATTACATGTACACATGAACCCAAGTTGGCTAAGTTAAGTAGTTTTGTAAGTTCCTCTCTCACAAACAGCACAGTAAAAATATATTAACAAGGGTGAAAAAAATGAAAGAAAAAAATCAGAAAAACAGCAACATTAATTTTATTTTCTAAATTAGCATCTTTTCAGCATTGATTAGTGACAGGAATATCTCTATATATAAATACATACGCATTCACACAGCAATATAAATTGTAAACATTTCCAAGGAATAACATAATTCAACACATTTTATCTTGTTCAAAATATTAAAAACAGCAAAAAAATTTTTACTTGTGAAAATTTTCATCTGTTTCCTCCAAATGCAAAAGAATCTCTTCTGCACATTCTACTGATGGGGCTCCAGTGATTTTTTCCTTCACGCTCTGCAGCAACCGTCTAAGCATAGACTGTAGCAGAGCTTCATCTTCACTTGTGAAGTGAGACATCTGTATAAAACAAATATAACAATAACACGCTCTCATAGTTTTGGTTGTTTTCCTCCCCTCAAGATGCTAAGAAAAGCATAAATCCCTCAAATTGCCACTTTTTTCCCCCATTACCAACGACGTGAGATTTTCCATCAAAAAAACATGATCACAGGAAATATTTCATGGAGCTTATCTTCAAACAAAATAATCAAAATAGTTTTAATAAACCTCCTGTTATCTTAGTACAATATTCTTAAACGAGATATTGCATTAAGAAAAACCTGCATATTCCTGTTCGTAATTGCTTGAGGACTTGCCCATCAAACAGGAACAAGGCTACACTGTAATTTAAAACAAAGAGGGGTTTACAGATGTAATGACTGTATCTAGATGAGAAACTTCTACAAGTCTCTCAGCTGCTTCTCATCCACTATTGCTACCCAGTTCTGATTTTTGGATCCCTCTACTGAGAGCTGTTGCTGTGCCCATGATGAAAGGTGCTGGCAGCTTTTGCAGCCAGGTAGAATTATCACAGCTGTTCAATTTCCCTGTGGTAATCAACTGCAGTGGCTTGACAGAGTCCTGTCAATTGAACCCTATAGCTACTGGGAAAAACTGGGAGAAGCAGCAGCAGTGAGAAACTGGAAACAGCTGTCAAATCCAGAAGACAGCATCTTATCAGTTTAATTTTCAAAGGCTGCAAAAAAACCCCCAAAAGCTCCATTTCTATCTTGATTAATTAAACTAAATTCATGGCTTAAACTTCTTTATATGCCAAGGAACACTTCCAACCCCCAGTGGCAGTTCTAGTTTATATATTTCTAGTCTATTTAAGGAAGAATGATTTAAAGACCTTTGACTTTATATATAAAAAAAAGTCAACCAAAGACTCTCTAAGCACCTGCAAAAAACCACTATGCACACTTGGAAAAGACAATATAATAAATCACTTATTCAGACTTAAACGCTATTAACAAACAAAAAAATCAAAGCCATATAGCACCAGCTGGAGGAGTTACCCTTTATGAAAGGTAATGGTTCCCTGAGTTAGCAGTTCGCTGTGGTTAAGTAGCACAGTTGCTGAACATTTTACTTTGATCAAACATAACTCGACATTAACTCAATCATCTTAACAGAAACTGCACTAGAAAAAAATTATATTAAAAATACTCCCAAAACACAAAAGAAAAAACACAAATGCCTTGTAATAGCCTTAACTCCCTGATCTGCAGCCATCTTGCTTATAAATTAGAGTCTCAAGATATTTAACCAAAGTCAATGCATTTTCAGGTCTATATAAACCACTCTAAGTCTTACAGTTTGACCTTAACATTAGATAATATCCTAATTCCCTGTGAAAAACTTCACTTTGTATTGTGCTGTAACTAGGCATTTTTAAAAGTGCAAGTATCTGGATACTGGTTGGCAATCGCTGCAAAGCCGCACTAAAATTATTCATAAAGACAAACCATAAGAATATTGCAGTTTCACCTCCAGTTTGCTTTGAAAAGTCTTATCTGACTTACGTAATCAGTAACAGTGACACGTATCTTAAAATTAATTTGTAAAGGTTTGTGGTTTCTTGTGTTTGGTTTTATGGTGGTGGGTTTTTTCCCAGCAGACACATCTCCCACTCAGTTTCCATGCCAAATTTAAATGATCATTTTCTCCCTAAAAAACCTTACCCAAGTACAGTTTGTCCAGTCTTTTCAACTTCAAATTCTTTTTCCTAGCACTGTCCCACAACTGCGAGGCCTGACCAAACCCACGGACGATTCAGAAGCGGCCTGTTGCAGCCAGCACTGATCCTTACACAAGCCTTTGCTTGAGCAAGGCTTTGAACAACAAAAAGTTATACTTTCCGCAACAAACCAACGACAGCAGTTAACAGAAATAAAAGGAGCGCGAGAACTCCCACCCCCTCTCGATTTTTATCGTCAGTCATCTAAACTGCCTATCACTTTTTGGCAGTAACCAGATTTCTAGTGACAACTCCTGTATGAAAGCAGCTTGTCCTTTTAAAAGGGTCAGGAGGAAAGCCCACACCTGACCAGGCCTTTCACGCTACCCCTAAAACCACAGCGGGGCTTTGCCAGGGCACCTTGGACGCGCTCGCCCCAGGCACCCGTTTAGCACCGCGGCTGCTG